TATTCTTCAATTTAAATTAATTTTTAAGTTTTTATAGGCAGTCTCTTTTTAAAACAGTAAAAGTTCCTCACCAGCTGGAAACACTTTCTCTTTCCGTATCCTTCGATTTTGGAGCCGCCTCGACTTTGTCAGCCTTGGCTGGATTTTTTACCGCTACCTTGATAACTTATCTTGCTTCTTTCAGGGATTTTGCGATATCCCCGAGATCAGCAAGATGTATTCTTCCTGTTCACCGGCTGTTCAGGACGGTTTAGGTCCGTTTGGACCACCCAGCGGCAAAAGTATTGACTGCAGTCTCAGAGCATCAAGACGGCATGACCATATTGTTGTTAACTTCGGCACTTTTGGCCCATGACCTGCAAAGCATTAAATGCAGCTCACGAAGCTCACAAAAAACAAACGGAAAAGAAAAGGACAAAGCCAAGAGTACAGAGTTGGGGGTAGGGTGTTTTTGTCCACAAAGTTCCTGCAAACCACCCAAAAATCAAAGAAGCTGGGCCCAAAGTATGTAGGTCCGTTCCGTATTGTGAAAATCATAAATCCTGTATCGGTGAAATTGGAGTTGCCAAAGAACCTTAGCAGATTTTATCCTGTTTCATGTGAACTTGTTAAAACTGGAACACTCTTCGTTTCGTCTCCTTCACCTCCGGTCCCTCTTCTTATTGAGGGAGAACAACATTTTGAAGTTAAAGAAATCTTGGACTCCAGAAAACATAGAGGTCATATTCAATATTTGGTCTCCTGGAAACATTTTTCCCTTTCCCATGCTGAATGGGTTGACAAATCTCATGTTAGGGCTCCCAGACTTTTGCGGTAGTTCTACACCAGCTATCCTGAAAAGCCTTGATTTTATGATGGATGTATATACTATGTTGTTATTTTGTATTGTATTCCCTCTCTCTTTTCCTGCAGGGGTAATATCTCTTTCTGAAGGAGGGTCGGATGTCAGCCTGTTTTGCTTGCTACACTTGCTTGCTATCGGCTGCCATAGGAATGGTGTGTGTGTGTGTGTGTGCATAGTATTGGGAAAGGGAATTATATTGTACTGGAGGAGTCTTGTTCTCACCATCCTCTGCAGATGCTGGTGGCTGATGTTTGAACTTGGTCAAGGCCAACCGTTTCTCATACCAACTTGATGAGGCTGTTTGAAGATGCA